CACTTAGGTGAGGGAACAGCTGGCTGAGTGGAGAAACCTGATCAGGGGCGGGTGTGTATTGTTCCCTGGCTGCTTCCTGTCCTTCCCCATGCTTCGTTTATCTCTCCTCCTTCAGGGCTGTCTGAGAATTTAAGTATTGGCTCCTTTTACACTGAATGCTTACTCTGAGGCCTTGCTGCGCACCCGTGCCCTCTCCAGCAGGGTGCTAAATCAGCGTTTGAACAACTGAACTCGGGGCCGGGTCTCCCCTGGCTGAGTATTTCTCCTCACGCGTGCATTGCCAGCAATAGCCCCGAGGACAAAGATGCTGTTAGCTTTGCGTGGGAGGTCGGTTGTGCTGTTCCTTTGCACGTTTCCCGTTCACCCTTCTCTGCAAAGTCAGCTCTTGCCTGCCAAGGCCAGAGTTTATCTTCTCATCCTCCTGAGCTGACATCCTTCCTCCATTCTCAAAGCTGGAAATCAGCTAAATATTTGTGCGAATTGTCAGCCTCTGTTCTCATCCTGGGTTAGAGGTGTCGGATGTGAAGTGCGCTGAAACGCTGGTCAGGGGAATCCAGCTCACTCTGGCTGCCTGTCTGGCGAGAGGTGAAGTCGGTGATCAGGTGGAGGGAAGGCTCCCTGTAGAGCTAAAAGAAAATTCCGAGGGTTCTCTTTCTCCAAATATTCTAGACCCATTAGTGGGTTTCAGCCTTTTGACCATAAAGACTTGAATTTATTGAGGGTTTCTCAGCTTTTTAATTTTTTTTTTAAAGATTTTATTTATTTATTCATGAGAGACAGAGAGAGAGAGAGAGGCAGAGGGAGAAGCAGGCTCCCAAGGAGCAGGGAGCCCGATGTGGGACTCGATCCCAGGACCCTGGGATCATGACCTGAGCCGAAGGCAGACGCTTAACCATCTGAGCCACCCAGGCGCCCGGTTTCTCAGCTTTTTAAATGGCTTCTCGAATGAGGAACATTAGATTCAATTTGAATTCTGTCTCAGGAGAGGAATGAGATCGTAAGGAATAAGATTTTGTGGGGTTGGGTTCACCCTTGGAGGGCCACAAACCCTTGTGATACCTAGAACTTTTTTCAACCCCCCCCCAAGCCCCTCCCTCACCCTCAAACCAGTTTTTGCCCACTCGGGGGATACGGTCCCCACTGAGAATACCTGCTTTGAGGACACCATGTTTAGAATAGTAAGTGCCCCTCTATGGATCAGGCATTTTGCGCATCACTCCCATTTATCTCTCCCAGTAACCTTGTGAGGTGGGTAATCTTGCCATTTCCACGTTACAGACAGGAAACCCAAGCACAGAGAATTTGAGTGACTTGCTTGGGTCCCTCAGCTATTAGCCAGAGGAGCCAGGACTCAGTTACGGGAGTTGGGCTCTGGAGTCCTCCCACTGTCTAGGCTGTCCTGGTGCAGTGTGGGAATAAGCAAAATGCCTTGATTCTTTTCCCTTTTTAAAATTGACTTATAATTCATATACCATAAACCTCATCCTATTGAAGGATACAGTTACAATTCAGTGGTTGTGCAGTCCCCACTATCTAATGCCATTTTCATTGCCCCAAAAAGAAACACGTATCCATCAGTGGCCACTTTCCACTCCCCTACTCCCTGGCCTGGCAACTGCTAATCTACTCGCTAACTCTTTAGATTTGTCTGTTTTCGATATTTCATGTAAGTAGAATCATGTAATATATGACCTTTCTTTATTGGTTTCCTTCGCTTAGCATAATGTATTCAAGATCATCTACGTTGCGACATGAATCAGTATTTCATTCTTTTTCACAGCTGAATAATACTCCATTGTATGCATATATACATTTTTTAAATTTCGTCATCTGTTGATAGACTTTTGGGTTGTTTCCACTCTTTGGTTATTATGAATAATGCTGCTGTGAACATCTATATATAACTTTTGTGTGTGTACATATATTTTCAGTTCTTTAGTTATATACCTAGGAGTGCAGTTGCTGGGTCATTTGGTAATTCTGTGTTTAACTTTTTATTTATTTATTTTAGAAATAGAGCGTGAGCGGGTGTGGGGTAGGAGGGAGAGGGACCAGCAGACTCCATGCTGAGCACAGAGCCCAACATGGGGCTTGATCCCATGACCCTGAGATCATGACTTGAGCCGAAATCAAGAGTCAGATGCTCAACCGACCAAGTCCCCCAGGTGCCCCTGTGTTTAATTTTTGAAGAACTATCAAACTCTTTTCCAAAGAGGCTGCACCATTTTATATTTCCACCAGCAATGTAGTAGGGTTCTGATTTATCAGCATCCTCAACAACACTTGTTAGAATCCATCCTTTTGATTATATCCATCCCAGTAGAGGTGAAGTATCTTATTGTGGTGTTGATTTGTGTTTCCCTAATGATTAATCAAGGATGTTGTGCATCTTTTCAAGTGCTTATTGCCATTTGTATATTTTCTTTGGAGAAATGTCTATTCAGATCCTTTGTCCATTTTTAAAAAGATTTTATTCATTTATTTGAGAGAGAGAGAGAGAGAGAGAGCATCAGCAGGGGGCTCAGGCAGAGAGAGAGGGAGAAGCAGGCTCCCTGCTGCAGGGCTCAAGCCTAGGACTCTGAGATCATGACCTGAGCTGAAGGCAGACGCTGAACTGACTGAGCCACCCAGGCGCCCCCCGCTTTGTCCATTTTTAAATTGGGTATTTTGTCTTTATTGTTGTAGGAGTTCTTTCTTTCTATATTTTTATACATTGTAGATACAAGTCTTTTATCAGATATGTGATTTGCAAATATTTCCTCCCATTTTGTGGATTGTCTTTCCACTGTCTTTTTTTTTTTTTAACGATTTTATTTATTTATTTGACAGAGAGAGACCAGCGGGAGAGGGAACACAAGTGGGGGGCGGGGGTGGGGAGAGGGAGAAGCAGGTTCCCCTCAGAGCAGGGAGCCCGATGCGGGGCTCGATGCGGGGCTCGATCCCAGGACCCTGGGATCATGACCCGAGCCGAGGGCAGAAGCTTAACGACTGAGCCACCCAGGCGCCCCTGTCTTTCCACTGTCCTGAAGCTATTCTTTGAAGCATAAAGATTTTGATGAAGACCCATTTACCTGTTTTTCTCTTTTGTTGCTTGTACTTTTGGTGTCCTATCTGTGAAACGATTGCCTTGTCCGAGGTCATGACAATTTACACCTGTTTTCTTCTAAGAATTTTGTAGTTTTAGCTCGTATATGGAGGATTTGACCCAGTTTGAGTTGATTTTTGTACCTGGTGTAAATGGCATGAGGTAGGGGGTCTATTTTTATTCTTTTGCATATAGATATCCCATTGTACCAGCACCGTCTGTTGAAAAAATTGTTCTTTCCCTGTTGAATTGTCTTGGCAACCTTGTCCAAAATAGTTATCTGTAGGTGTATGTGTTTATTTCTGTGCTCTCAGTTCTATTCCATTGATCTGTAGATCTGTCCTTATGCCAATTGGACCTTGACTTTTGAACTTTTGAACCCCACATTTCCTGGGTGAGTAAGTTCCCTCAAGGCAGAGGTGGCTTGGCTTGTGGGAATTCCCCCTTCCCTCTGTAGGTTCGGGATTTACCCCAGCGTTGGGCCTAGTATGTTTCATTATTTAGTCGTTTCTTCAGTGCTTTCAAGATGATGTTATTATATTGATGTCATCCAGCACTTTCTCATTGTTTTCAGCAAGAGTTCTAAAAACCTAACCTATCAATATAAAAAATGGAATTCAATATTATTTATCTCCGATTATGAAATTTGGGGCAGTGTATCCCTGAAACGATTTGTTTTGGGAAGTAGGGAAATTCTTCATGGCTTCTTAAAAAAGTACCACTCTACTTGCTTTTAAAGCCAGATTCATAATAGCTAATAATCTAGTGGCTTTCATCAGTTGAGTACTTTGCTGTCCCAGGCTTTCCGGGTTTCAGATGTGCTCTTGAATCTCATCAATACAATAAACCTATAAGATGACTGATATTCATATCATTGTTCCTGTTTTATGAATGAGGAAGCTGGGGCTCCAGAGGTTCTGAGACTTGCCCAAGGACACAAAGCGAAGATGAGCCCAGTTTGACCCAGGCCCAGGTTCTCGACTCCAGAGCCAGGCTCCTAACCTGCATGCCCTGCCCCGCCTCACCCCCCCCCCCCCCCCCGCCCCAGGGCTCCCCTTCTCCTCCTCCCGGGTTCACATTCTTCTCTTAGAAAAACCAGAACATGTCAAGGACTGAGTTTTTTCTGTGCTCATTTTCCCTTGTGGTGGGAATTTGAACTGGGACAGGCAGGAGGTCTTCAGACGGGACGGTCCTTGACAGTTGTTTTCCCAGTTGTAGGAATCAAGGAGGAGCCCCGTGTAGAACTTCTCTGATTCCTGGGCTGCAGGGCATCGGGAGCACCAGAGAGTATGGTGCCCAGGAAGGGAGGTGCTCACACGCACCTGGGGAGTTCTGGTGCAGTCGGTCTCAGACTGCACCAAAGCAAAGCTGGTCTCCGGGTTACATTATAAATCACTGGATATTGTGGACCTGTTGCTTTCTCCTATTTCCTGTTACTACAGGGCACACTGATGTATTTCCATGTCTGGAAAATGGCCCTCTCCCCTTTCAACTCCTTGAAAAGCGGTGGAGACTTCAATTGCTTGCTTTTAAAAGAGAGGGATGGAGTAACAGGGCGATGGGCATTAGGGAGGGCTTGTGAGGTGATGAGCACTGGGTGTTACACGCAACTGATGAATTATTGAACACTGCATCTAAAACTAATGATGTACTATATGTTGGCTAATTGAATTTAAATAAAAATTTTTTAAAAAATAGAGGGTTGTATTTAGTGCTTTGGAAGCCCTGTTGTCAGGTAGAAACAAGAATGTTAGAGCCAGAACAACTTTGACATTAAGAAAATGCAATATCCAGTAACTCATTATGTTTGACTCTGACTTAGGGGTGGGAGCTGAAGGGAAAAGTATCTGCTTAGTTTAGAGAAGAACAATCTCACTGTCTTTTTCTTCCTCCTCCCTCATCCATGTTTTCTCAGATTGTGAAGTGGTCCGACTGCTGTTTGCCATTAGCTTGCAGACCTGGGGATCCTTATCAATTAATCGCTGAAGCAAGCGTGGATGACTTCAGTAAGCTGGGGGTGGCGTTCATGGAAGACAGACTCCAGATGGCTGATGGATTGGTACCTCAAAAGATTGTTTGTAAGTGACCTTAGAAATGCTTCCATCAGGGGCACCTGGCTGGCTCAGAAGAGCAGGCAACTCGTGATCTCTGGGTCGTGAGTTGGAGCCCTACGTTGGGTGTAGAGACTACTTAAATAAATAAAAACTTAAAAAAAATATTTCTGGCATAGCAGGAGACCATTGGTTATTAGTTTACGGACTGTTGAACCCTCTTGTTCGGTGTGGCTTAAGGCTTATCTTCAGTTTAATGCAGTCAACAGGTGGATGTAATTGTAACAGTATGAGAAAAATGCATGTGTTAGGTTTTTTTGAGATGCTTATCCCAAAGTATATCGATAGTGCTTTTTAAATTATTTCTTTTTAAGTGGGCTCCATGCTGGGCCCAACATGGGGCTTGAACTCAAGACCCTGAGATCAAGACCTGAACTGAGATCAAGAGTCGGACCCTTAACCCACCGAGCCACCCAGGTGCCCCAGTGCTTTTAAGATTCTTTAACAAGGATTTCCCATAATTGCGTTATCCACAAGATGGCGTGCAAATGTAGAACCCATATAATATTTGTTTCCCATAATCTAAAAAATATAACAAGTTTCTAGACTATACTTACTGTGTTCGACTGGATGGAAAGCATAGCTGGTATTACTACAAAGTTCTAATTCTAACAGTTTTTTATTTAAAAAATATATATCACAATATTTTGGGATACATCTTTTTTTTCAGGAAACATGCAAAATGTTCTTTCTTAATTAGGTTTTAAAAATTGAGTTTCTGTGTCCATGAAAGTCTTCATTTGTATCTTGAGCAAAGGAGTGTTCCCAGCTCTGGAAATCTTTGTAAATCATTTAATTTCCCCATTTGGCATGTGCATGTGCCCAATACAATGTTAGGTGCATAGCAAGTGCTCCATGAATGTTTTTTGAATCAGTGATTGTAAATTTCTATTCCAGTCCTGAGATAAGATACTGGAAAGACCCTTTTCCCCCATTGATCCTATGAAGTGTCCCGAGAGCACCTTCTGCGTGGGGTATGCTGGGTACACCAGATATGTGCCCTTTTTGTTTCTCAGTTTCATTTTCTTATAGGAGACTGACACCCAAGAAATCGATTCTGTAAGTAAGTGGGCACAGAATTTACCTCTCTGAATCCCACTTTGTTCACCAGCCAATAAGGGGATCTGGGGCTTCCCGATTCACAAGGCAAAGGTGTTATGGAAATGTGGGATTTGGGATTTCACTGTCGGGAAGGTCGGGCGCACCCTCCCAGCAGGTGGGAGCAATGCCCGGTTCCAGCAGATGCCGAAGACTTGTGGTAGGGATGCAGGTGGGAGCCGGCGGGCGGAGTGCGGAGAGCGCCATGAGATTTTGAACTGAGCCGCGTGACAGACCAGAAGGGCTGATGATTGTCTTTTCTGTTCGTATTTTAGCAGTGCACTTGCAGGACTGTACTCTGAAGGCACTTGAGGATCAGGCCTCAGACAAGCAAGCCCAGACCCTACGACAGAATCCTGAACCTTCCGCTGAGAGTAAGCCTGAGCCGGACGCTATGGAGTGCATTGGTAGAGATGATCCCAAGGTTCTTGGTCCACAACGCACACTGGGGACAGGGAGTGCCTCTGGCAGCGAGCCTGCCGGGGAGGGTGACAGAGGAGTAGGCTCTGTCGAGCACTGTCCCCTCCATCTGTCTAGTTGCCATGAGTGTCTGGAGCTGGAGAACAGTACCATCGAATCTGTCAAGTTTGCATCTGCAGAAAACATTCCAGATCTTCCCTATGATCACAGTGGCAGTTCGGAGGATGTTGCTGATGATATCCGCTTGGAAGGAGAATGGAGGAGAGTCATCGTCACGGGAAAGGCCCCCAACATCCTCTTCTACGTGGGCTCTGCCCCCCAGAAATCCCTGGGCAGGTTCCAGGAGGTCCGGTCCGTTCTGGCGGACTGTGTGGACACCGACCGCTATACACTCTACCACCTGTCAAGGGAAAGTGCTCTCAGAGACCCGTGGTCAGACAACTGTCTGTTGTTGGTCATTGCCACCCAGGAGACTATTCCTGAAGACCTTTCCCAGAAGTTCATGGCCTACCTTTCTCAGGGAGGGAAAGTGTTAGGCCTGTGTTCGTCCTTCACATTTGCTGGCTTCCAGGTGACGAGCAAGAGCGTGCTCGAGGAAACAGTCCAGAGCTTGGTTTTCTCCAAGGCTGACCAGACCCAGGTGAAGCTCAGCGTCCTGAGCAGTGGCTACGTTTATGAGGAAAGCCCCGGGGAGCGCCTCAGCCTGGGCAAGCTGCAGGGTCACCTGGAGAATGAGGACAAGGACAGGCTGATAGTGCAGGTGCCTTTTGGAACTCGTGGAGGAGAAGCTGTTCTTTGCCAGGTATGGAGCTGGTATCCGTGTAGGGATCTTTGGGGATCTCTCAGAGAGTATGCCCTTTAAGGCTGAGCACCAAAAGGGTCAAGAGTCTGAGCTCCGTGGGGTACTTCTGATCCTTGGCTGGGACTTTTTTGCGGATGCTGAGTAGGTTTAGGTGAGGGCTTTCCTGTTGCATGAATATCGCATTTCACCAAAACACTCGGGACGGAGGAACGAAGCAGAAGGTGTCATGCTGATTAAAGACTGCTGGTTGACCGAAGATGAGTCAGAAAATTCTTTCTTGTTTTGCTCTATGCTGGTAATCATCTTTCCAAAATACATTAGTCTACTCTCTTGTCTCAGAGCACACTGTGGTCAGTATAATCGAACCTTTCAGTTTGTGTAGGGAGTCGAGTGCCTTGGGCTGGTGATTTTCAGGGTTCATAACCCTCACATTACAACATTGTGGTTGATAACAGGGATTGCATGAATGCTCACCAACTGCTGGGGTGGTGAGTGTTGAAAACTTCTCAGATCCTCAGTTCTTTTATGATTTTTGTCACTCTTAAAATCTAAATGCTGAGAAAAATTTCAGATAGAATTTTGAAGCGATTTCGATTTATGGCGCATTAATACAGTTGACCTTTGAATAACAAGGCTTTGAACTGCGTGGGTCCACTTGTGTGGAATTCTTTGGCTAACTACAGTATAGTATTGTAAATGTGTTCTCTGTTCCTTATGATTTTCTTGGTAATAGTTTCCTTTTCTGCAGCTTACTTTATTGTAAGGATAGAGTATATAATATGTGTAATATACAAAATACGTGTTAATTGACTGTTTATGTTATCGGTAAGGCTTCCGGTCAACACTAGGCTGTTAGAGTTAAGTTTTTGGAGAGCTGAAAGTTATATGCAGATTTTCCACTGCATGGTGAGGTTGGCCCCCTGGCCCCCCACATTGTTCAAGGGTCAGCTCTATATAGGTAAGGGAGAAGTGGGAAGGGAGAAGAAGGGACATGCTACTTCCCTCCCGCTCCCTTCCCAATCCTTTGGCTCATCTGCTGTTTTTTTTCTTGTTTCTTTCTTTTTCCTTTTCCTTTTTGGTTTGTTTAAGCAGATGGAAGCAGGATAGACAGTTTCCAAATTCCTGATCATTGACTGCAAACTTTTTTAACACCTCAGGGCAGAAAGTTTTTATTAGAGTTAGATGAACCCTTGTCCCTAAGGATTTGTTATCTCATGAGAAAGTTAAGTAGAGGTAGATATTTTGCCCAGAATAGTTCCCAGGATGAGTGTAACAGATTTTGTTTTATTACAGGGATCTTTTTGTTGAGTTGGAGAATCATTTCCTTTTTTTTTATTGTTTATTTTCATTTCATATGCTGTCCTAGGAGCTAAATCTCTTGGCTTTTCTGACCAAACTTTCTTCAAGGGGTCATAAATTTGTTTCTTTACTCTTCCAAAGCCCATTCGTTTGTTCTTAAGATAATGCTCAGTCAAAGATGCATATAATTTAAAAATCTGGCCATCAGAACAGACGAATGCGTACAAGCCAGGCAGGTTTCATGTAGGCTGCAAAGCACATGAATTAGTTTGGAGGCCTCATTAATGTTCCTCTTATCTTTTTCTCTGCAAAGATGGTAACTATAGCAACTGCGCATTCTCAGAAAATCCACTTAAAAACCCGACTTCCTAGAGCCGTATTTCAGTTTTGAATGGTGACTTTTACTACCCCTGTGCGCAGACTTGTGCTAGAAAATTGATTCGGCACTGCCGCGATCCATTTCTCTGAGTGACATGGCAACTCCGCTTGCTACCCCATTTGCATTGACCCCGTTGCTGTCATAAAATTTGATATTGCATGCATTGCTCTGGGGAAAAAGAGGCAATACGATGCAGCTTCAAAAATCAGATTCAGAGGATTAGAATGTCATTTTTGGTTTTAAATGACTTCCAGTCTCTGTGTGACAGGGTCACTGCTCTCTGCTCAGACCTCAGTCACTACGATACCTTGCCGCCAGGAGCGGCCAATAAATGTTATCATCGAAGGCTGGTTAGTTTCCTCTTTCCCTGGTCAATTTCATAGTCTTCATCTCTAGTAAATCGAGTAATGATGTAACCCAGTAAGAGGGGCAGAGCACTTCAAGGGCAAACCACAGCCGCGCGGTGGATGGTGGTCTCACGGCCAAGGAGCTGCCTTGGACGCCTTTACCGCTCATCGCGAGGAGAAAGGACATTATCGTGTGCTTGCTGTGACGATCAGGTTTGCAGGGGACATTTAAGGCTGCGGATTAATGCTGACCTTGGATTATCGACTGGACCAGGACTTTGGCATGAAGTTGCCCACATGGACTTAAAAATATTTTATTCCCGCTTTTTTCCTCCCCGGCTGCTTGAAGCTAGGCCGCCATCATGAACGACACAGTAACTATCCGGACCAGGAAGTTCATGACTAACCGACTACTTCAGCGGAAACAGATGGTCATTGATGTTCTTCACCCCGGAAAGGCAACAGTACCTAAGACAGAAATTCGGGAAAAACTAGCCAAAATGTACAAGACCACACCAGATGTCATATTTGTGTTTGGATTCAGAACCCATTTTGGTGGTGGCAAGACAACCGGCTTTGGCATGATATATGATTCCTTGGATTATGCAAAGAAAAATGAACCCAAACACAGACTTGCAAGACATGGCCTGTATGAGAAGAAAAAGACATCAAGAAAACAGCGAAAGGAACGCAAGAACAGAATGAAGAAAGTCAGGGGGACTGCAAAAGCCAGTGTTGGTGCTGGCAAAAAGTGAGCTGGAGATTGGACAACAGAAGGAGTAAAGATGCTGCAGTGGCTTTATCTGGTTGTGCAGATTTTTCATGAGAGGATCAATAAACTAAGAATGTTAAAAAAAAAAAATATTTTATTCCCTTACTTAGCGTAGCGCATGGAAGGATGGTCTGGCTTTTCGAGCAGGGTTTCTCAACCCCGGCACTGTTGACATTTCAGGCAGGTCCTGCTTTGCTGTGCAGTCGTCCCGTCCCGTGCTCTGTAGGGTGTTAGCCGTGCGCTACCCACCAGATACGACGCATAGGTGGCAGACCACCCTCCACCCCCTGCATTTGTGACTGAAGACGTTTTTAGGTCAAAAAGCCTTAATTTTAGAAGAAGCCAAGGTATAGAAATGGGCCCATCAGTATGGTAACATTATTACAGCCAGAGGACGAGACGCATGTTGGGTCCCACGGAGGACCAGGAGGCAAATCCAGAAGCACACGGTCTCTGTCCTGTGAATTGAGGTTCAGAGACAGAGGAGGTCTCTCTTCTCGCGTCCGTTGTCGAAGCAGCTACTGTCAAAGCCCACGAAAGCACTCCTCGCACAATGTCCATGGCCATCTTCTCTCTTACCTCCTGGAGCCCTGGAGGCCTGCTCGTGGGGGTGAGCCCACCTTTTCCCCCTTGGCCTCGCTCAGGTGTGACTGTGAGTTCAGCACACCCCACTGCGGGTGCTTCTTGGATCTTCTGTGTATTCACTCAGGCATCACGCTCACGCCCTCTCCTCTGGGCCCAGGTGGGGGGAGAACGTCGCTCATTTTATTTCTGCCACCTGTAAGGGGTCACCTCCAGGAGAGCCACTGGTTTTGTCCACCAGAGAGGAGAGGCCATATTTAGGGAGAGAACGCAGGGAAGGAGACTCGGATTCGGATACCTTGAAGGATTTCACTTCTCTGCCTCCGCCGCTCTCCGCGGCTGTTTAGAGGATGGACTCACTCCTCCTGGCCGGCAGGAGCAGCCCTCGGCTGGCCCACCCTCGCCTGGGGCCGTGCTGGTCTGTCTCTCCAAACCTTTAAGACTGGCATCAACTTTGCACAGTTGGACCACTTTGGACAGGATATTTGGACAGTATTTTTGACTTGGTTAAGTCTTAGGTGGGAATTGAGAGATACTACATTGCCTGAAGGCTGTGGGCACCTTGCCTTTTATTTTCATCATGCTCCTAATAGTATCAGGTCAGGAGCTCTGCATACAACAGAAATCCACAGCTGATTCCTGGCAAAGGCAAAATAAAGCAAACATGCTTAGGTTGCTCCATATTCTGGCACCCTCCACGGCTCTATGGCCAGTTAAAATCTGATCTCAAGGGCGCCTGGGTGGCTCAGTCGGTTGAGCGACTGCCTTTGGCTCAGGTCATGATCCCAGGGTCTGGGGATCGAGTCCCACATCGGGCTCCCTGCTCCGCGGGGAGCCTGCTTCTCCCTCTCCCACTCCCCCTGCTTGTGTTCCCTCTCTCTCTGTGTCTCTCTGTCAAATAAATAAATAAATAAAATCTTTAAAAAAAAAAAAATCTGATCTCAAGAGGACCAGAAGTTCTAGTCTGTTCCTTTACACCAAAGCGCACACCAATGATTGGAAAGTTCTAGCTGAAGGAGCTAGAAGTTCTAGCATGTTCCTTCAGACCAAGACACAGACCGTTTGTTGATTGGTGGGGCTGTTTTATTTATTTATTTATTTATTTTTTAAAAAGATTTTATTTATTTATTAGAGAGAGCGAGCATGAGCAGGGGGAGTAGCAGAGGGAGAAGCACACTACCGCTGAGCAGGGAGCCCGATGCGGGGCTCGATCCCAGAAACCCTGAGACCATGACCTGAGCCAAAGGCAGACGTTTAACCGACTGAGCCACCCAGGTGCCCCTAGGTGGGGTTTTAATTTTAAGCGCACAACAAAGCCTGAACTAGATAGAATTCCGGAATCTTAAATTCAATCCAGGTGAAGGAGGGTGGTGGGGCAGGCCTTTCTGGGGTCCCCCAAACCCCACATCTTCTATTTTTGGATGCCTGCACACACTCTTACATTGGTGAATGAGGCTACTGTCCTTCGTGGTTTGTTTCCTGGTGGTTATGACTATAGGTGGAGTGAGAGTTTGCACACGACCCATCACGCCTCCCGGGGTTCAGTAGCAACCTTAGCTGGCTTCTCGGTACAATCCTATTTCTAAGTGTTCTGGTAGAGTAATCAAGTTGAGCAACTTGCCGAGGTCCCCCAACTGGTTAGTGATACAAGTTGGGACCCGGGCAGAGTCTGAATACAATCCAGGCTTGTGTCCAGCACCACCTTTCCACCCAACTGCCCAAATTTCAGTTGGCTCCTGTGAATTTTTTTATTACTTTGTTGTGACTCTCCATATGGTCAAGTTCAACGTTTACATACTGTTGATGATCAGAAGGATTTCTGTTGAGGTTTTCAGAAATGCTGGTAAAGACATTGTTTCTCCTAAGGTCGGCAAGTGCCCGGATTCACGATTCACGATTTACGAAGCAGTGTCTTTTTCCCGCAGGTGCACTTAGAACTACCTCCCAGTTCTTCAGTGGTGCAAGCCCAAGAAGATTTTGATCTGCTCAAATCAAGCAATATTAGAAGATACGAAGTCCTTAGGGAGATCCTGACAACGCTCGGCCTAAACTGTGACATCAGACACGTTCCTGCCTTAACCCCTCTTTACTTACTGCCTGCGACGGAGGTGAGTGTGTGCTCAGGCAGGAAGGGGACGACCCCTCGGTCGCCTTTCTTCCAGACGGCGACCCTGTTCTTTCTCAGTGGTCTCGATTTTGATTTCTGTTTTTATTTGGCCTTCAGGTTTGGGAACCGTGTTAAAGATATCCAAGTATAACTGATATTTGTGGTGTTTGTAGGTAAGGGTGGGAGAGAAGACTGTTGGAGGTTAGAAGGCGTTGTATCTTAAAGATCACGGCCTATCCACTTTAGGGGGCAGAGGGTCACTCTTTTATGTGTCAAGAGTGTATTTGGAAACCACAATTTATTCATTTGGGATTAAAGACCTTTGTTTTGATCCGGGCCTTTTTCAGGGAATTTTTGGACAGGAAAAATTCATTTGTGCTGATGTCTGCCCTCTTGTGGCAGAAGGGGCTCCGAGTTCAGTTTCTATCCTCTCGTTGTGTCTAAAAGGGAAATGCCTGTGGAGCTGAGAACGTATTCAGGAATTTTTCTGGGCTTTTGTCGGCATTTGATGCCTGTGGTTGTTACCTGGTTTGGGCTGGTTGCCAGATTCTTAGGGATGTCTCCTCCTACTAACCTCTTTGCTTTGCCAAGCTGTCAATCTCTTATTGATTGTGGCAAGGTATTTGGAGGTCTTTTTCCTGTCTCCCCTACATAGGGAAATTTGTGAGTTTAGTGATATAACCCTGCAGTTTCAGCAAATGCCTGATGGTCCAGGTGACTCTAAACACCAAATTTACCTGCTTTCTCTTGAAAAGAACAAAGTATACCTCCTACCTCAATATTTTTAAAAGAGAAGGAACTCCCTTTTGGGTTATACTCTATCCCTTGGCAAACTTAGTTGTTGGAGGAGAGCGGAGCTGTGGGCTGTCTGGTTGGGATGTGCTCACTTGGAGAAGACAGCTATAAACTCCACGTGCGTATAAGATTAGGATACCTTATAGGATTATATGAGGTTTGCAAGAAATAATATATGTGAATGTTTTGTGTAAATTATATTATTTAAAAGACAGTCCAATTATTAATATTATTAGTTTGGAGTTTTAATAAGTTACATGTGTATAATGTACCTAGTGCCTGTTATCTAGTCTAAAAAGACGTCAGGTAATGTTTTAAATTTTAAAAGTGAATGATATTGCAATGGATTCTTTTTCCATTTAAGAAACATTCTTTTATTTCATTTTCATTGTTGTTTTTAGCCAGTTTGTACTCTTTTAACTTTTTTATTTAAAAAAATTACTTTAAAAGTTTATTTATTTTAGTAATCTCTACACCCAACATGGGGCTCGAACTTATAACCCCAAGATCAAGAGTCCCATGCTCTTCTGACTGAGCCAGCCAGGTGCCCCAAACTCTTTTAAATGGGTGCTCTCGGAGATTCATGGTATGACTTTGGTTTGTGCCTTTATCTTGGGACTTCAAAACTCCACATCTTTGTCTCTATTTTAAATGTTCAGTTAATAAAGGAAAAGCATCAGATCCAACTTGTGACTTATATTAAAATAAAGTGTGTCCTCAGAGCTTTCCCTCCTATAGGTGGCCCACCCATCGCCCTCCCACTTTGGAGGGATGGGGCAGAGCCTTGTGGGTAAGGGTTACTGGTCCCAGGGGAGCTGTGACTGTCACTCTCCTAAATCTTCTCACTCCCTCCTTTCCTGGTCATCGAGGGCTGAGACCGGTATGTGAGGAAATGCCTGCTTGTTCTGAGGTCCCGAGTGAGATAGACCAGTGACAGTGCTCCTTGACCTTTCCTGGGAGTTCTGACCGCACTGGTCTGGGGACTCGCCCCTCTGGACTCCTGGATGTATCAGTGAAGAAGAGGCTGTGTTCTCAAGGTTCGAACTCTGGGCATTTCCCGTGGTTCTTTAGGATGGGTATAACCTGAAACACCTAAGCAGAGGCTTTGTATTGCGTGTCTGCTTATATTAATGTACCCAGTAGATGCTTCATGGTTTTGTCCTTTCCGTTCTTTAAACTGCGTGTGGGTGGGGGGGATACATTTCCCCTACTGATTGGTGACCCTGACTCACCAACCTTGGGAATGAAGTGCTTGAACAAGATTAAAGCAAGTATTCATTCTATATACAGACACACGACACCCCACACAGACTCCAAGGCTACCAAGTTCCTCTTTGCATAACAAGTTTGGTAAAGAGCAGTTTCCAGAAATGTTCTCTTCTCATTTTGGGTCTCCCAATTGGTCTGGTTGCTCTTGGATCTCTACACTGTGGATTACTTTTTCTCCCGACTGCTTTTCTCTGAATTCCTTTTTACTTGGGGAGCCCAAGGAACCGAGTGTGTGAGCATGCAGTTGTTGTGTATATCCTCATTTCTTAGTTTTATCGTCTCCTAGAAGACTTTGAATCTGCAGTTAAAGGAAGTATAAGAACTCAGGGTGTTAGAGTATGTTTTCCTGGAATACAAATTCTTTGAAGGATTATCATGCAAATGAATGTGAAGGTAAACTGATCCACACCTTGATGGTCTTTCTGCAGGCAGCTGCATAATTCCTCGGGGTCTTCTCCTAATGCCGAGGTGGAGATATCTAGGAACATCTTCTAGTCATTGTGCAGGTGGCTCAGCATTTACAGATAGTTGGGGATGACAGATTGGGAAGAGAGCTGGGTCGTACATTCTATTTGGTTTTCTTTCCTGCAGCCTTCTTACTAGATCTCATAGATCCCCATGGAATTAAGGCACGTGGAGAGGATGTTGTCATCCCAGCATCTGCACTACATGGCCCATCCTTAGATTCATCACCTGCCCTGTATGTAGATTCCATGCCTGCGCTGGCTTCGGGCTCCGGCTACTCTGTGCTGTTGGGAATCAACCACCTCTCACCACACGGTGTTGCTGCTGAGCTAGGCTGCCTGTGAACAGACTCCCTGGACTGGAAACAGCTCAGACTTTTTTTTTTTTCCTCTCTGCACCAGCTCCACATACTTCAGTAGTTTTCCATTATATTGGTGGCACTTTCTTTTGGATCTATAGGAATTATTTCAGCGTCACAGTTAATATTCACCTTTCATTAAGCATCTTGCTGTGTACTAGGTACTGTTCAAGGAGGGGATATGAAAGAACACAATAAACACACTAGTTATCAGCTGTGTTTACAGAGTTTGGTGCCTAGGCCCTCGTTCTGTATAGCAAACGGTACAGAAGGTTTACGAGGTACCTGTGAGCTTCCACATCGCTCCGATACAAATGGAAAAGAAAGCATGGTGACCCAGGTAGAAAAAAGCACTCACCCAAAGAACAGTCGATTCTTGGTGTTTGCTGGGGATGTGTTCTGAGACCTTTCCCGGCACCCACATGCCCCAGCAGCATGTGATTTCCCCTATAAAATCCACTCATGTATGGCCTCGTATGCGTCACCATGCATGACACCACGAGGAGGCAGGGCTTGGCTGAGGTGTGGCCTCTGGGTGACCGGGGACTTCCCATTGAATCGAAACTCCCACGGGGCAGGATTGAAATTCAGGCCTCAGCAAAATTATTGCTCTGTCCAAACAAAACACACAAGCACGTGTACCCCACCAGTGTGTCTACAGAAAAAAAGACTGGAGGGAAATACAGAAATCTAGGGTATATTTCTGGGTGGTGGGCTTTGGGGTGATGATACTAAACTTTTGTATGTCCTAAATTTTCTGTAACGTACATGTATTATTTTTATAAGGAGCAAAACCGGTTATTAAAGATGCACACAGATTACTCTCACTGGACTTTGAAGGCATCCCAGAAACGGTCACAACTTGAGTGTTGAGAAGTAAGGACTCTTGTGTAGATATTGATAGTTTATTTAATATTCGACGTCTATATTAGTTACTTTAACAGCGTTAGCTTTGTTAGTAACGCCTTGACTCTGTGAATGGCCAGCGATGGCTACGCTGCTGGGTTTAATCGGGGCTCTCACCTTCCCGGCGGGTGCCCCCGGGCCTCAGCAGTGCATTCACGCCTGCTTCTGGGGGTCCTGGCGGAGGCTCGTAATTCGAGTGCCCCCAGCCCTGCTTGGATGTTTCTCGATGGAACCCTTCGAACTGTTTCTCAGAGAAGACACAGCTGTGCTGACGTCTCCACAGGGAGCCCTTTCAAACAGCTAACTTCCTTCCCGGAGGTGTGAGTAGAGGGAGAGGCTCAGAGGACACGCGGCTGACCCCGGATTACTGGGTCACCGCCACACTGACCTCCTGCCCCTGGTGCCGGCTGGTGGTGCTGCCGGCAAGTTAGCAGGAATACCTCTTTCCTGTGGGGGACCCGTGTGTGTGTGTGAGTGTGTGTGTCCGATTTGATAGAAAAACACAGCTCGTTCCCTTGCAAAACCTAAAGTCCCACGGAAAAACTCACTCTCCCGTTTCCATTTCTCTGGGCTCTGTTTCCATGTTTGTCTCTGCCGGGGGGGGGGGGGAGGGTGTGCAGCGAGCCCGAGGGGTTTGTGCTTGGAGGGGCAGCTGGTTGATTGGGACAAGCCAGGATGGGATCTCAGTGGGTTCCTTTCGACCCCCCAGCCGGACCAGGGGAGGGGGGAGAGGATGGGAGTGCGCACAGCCTGCTTGGCATGCTCCCCTACCCTGGGACATCATTGCGTGGGGTCTGGGGCTTTCTGAAACTACAGACCTGGCATTCTTTTGGGCATTCCTTGTGGCTGGTAGCTGATGGTATGGAGGCGTCCTAAGACAGAGGCGGGCAGGACGGTGGCAGGAGTCCTGCCAGAGAGAGGGTATGCGGTTCCTTTGCCTTGGGGCTGTGATGTAACCGTAACAAGAAGTGACAACGGGGGTTGTTTTTAAAGCAACCCGGCAGAAATTGTCATGTTGTGTGTAATTTCGGTAGTGTGGGTGTTGTGGGATGGGTCCTCTATGCTTTAGAACAAAAACTAGTATCACATTTCATTTTGATTCAACCCCAAATCATTTGCCGTGGAATGCCTCCTCCCCCACCAAAAAAGCAGGTAGGAGTAGTTTCAATATCTGTAAAAGTATTAAAATTTCCTAGTGTAGTCCCTTC